ATGGACATTTAGGTTGCTTCTGTGTCTTGGCTAGTGTATATAGTGCTACTGTGAACATTGGGGTGCATGTGTCTTTTCAAATTAGTTTCCTCCAGATATATGCCCAGGAGTGGGATTCCTGGATCATACGGTAAGTCTTATTTTTAGTTTTTTGAGGAATCTCTGTGCTGTATTCCATAATGGCTCCACCAAACTACATTCCTACCAACAGTGTAGAAGGGTTCCCTTTTCTCCACACCCTCTCCAGCATTTTTCGTTTGTGGACTTTTAAATGATGGCTATTCTGACTGGTGTGAGGTGATACCTAACTAGTTTTGATTTGCATTTCTGTGCTAATTAGCAATACTCAACATTTTTTATGTGCCTATTGGCCATTTGTATGTCTTTGCAGAATTGCTTGTTTAGGTCTTCTGCCCATTTTTGGATTGGAGGGTTTTTTTTTTTATTAAGTTGTATGAGCTGTTTATATACTCTGAAGATTAAACCTTTGTCAGTGGCATTGTTTGCAAATAATTTCTCCCATTCTGTAGGTTGTCATTTTGTTTTGCTTATGGATTCGTTTGCTGTGCAAAAACTCATGTTTAATTAGGTCTCGTCTTTTATTTTTGCTTTTATTTCTATTGCCTGGGTAGACTGCCCTAGGAGAACATTGCTAAGATTTATGTCAGAATGTTTTGCCTGTGTTTTCTTCAGAGATTTATCATCTTGTCTTACATTTAAGTCTTTAAGCCATTTTGAGTTTATTTTTGTGTATGGTGTGAGGAGTGTCCTAATGTCGTTGATTTACAAGCTGCTGTCCAGCTTTCCCAGCACAACTTGCTGAAGAGACTGTCTTTTCTCCATTGTGTATTCTTGCCTCCTTTGTCGAAGATTAATTGACCATAGATCTGTGGGTTTATTGCTGGGCACTCTGTTCTGTTCCCTTGATCCATATGTCTGTTTTTATGCCAATACCATGCTGTTTTAATTAGGTAGCTCTGCAGTATTATCTGAAGTCTGCAGTATTGTCCAGTCTGAAAGCTGGACTTCCTCCAGCTTTGTTGTTTTTCTTCAGTATTGCTTTAGCAATTCTGGGTCTTTTGTGATTCCATATAAATTTTAGGAATATTTGTTCTAATTCTGTGTAAAATGTCCTGGGTAATTTGATAGGGATTGCATTAAATCTGTAGATTGCCTTGGGCAGTATGGCCATTTTAACAATATTGAGTCTTCCAATTCAGGAGCATGGGATATCTTTCCATTTCTTTAAGTCATTTTAAATTTCCTTAATCAGTGTTTTGTAGTTCTCCATTTATAAGTCTTTCACCTCCTTGGTCAGATTTATTCCTAAGTATTTTATTGTTTTGGATGTGATTTTAAAAGGGATTATTTCTTTCTTTGCCTGCTATTTCATTGTTAGCGTAAAGAATATAATTTTTTCTTAGGTTATTCTTACTGCCTGTTTTATGAAGATGGAGATATTGCCTTATAATGAGAGGTCAGGTAAAAACTCTAATTGTGAGAGTAAATGCACAAATGCTTTTATTACTCTAAGCAAATAAATAAGTTGCAGTTTCAAATAGACAACTTAAGCTCATTTATGCATACAGTAGTTCACTGGATTGACTGACTATGCAATGAACAACTGAAAAGGGATCCATTTCCATCATTAATCTTACCCTCTTGGACAAAAAAAAAAAAATCCCGAACTATTTCCCTATTAGAATACAGGTAATAGTAATCAAAAAGAAAATTTGTTGGTACTTCACACTAACATTTTAAGATTTAGAACTTAACCATAAAATACATGTCTGGAAATGATGGTAGAAAATAGCATTTTAAGTTGATAGTATATTTCTTCTGTAAGTCCCAAAGTGATTTCTGCATGGGGGCCAGAAAATTAAGTTAGAATTTTGTACATGCTCAGGTGTCCGAATAGAGTTATAGGGCCCTCCCCCTTCAACATACACCTTAAAAATGGAAAAGAAAAATATTTTCTCCCTTCTTACAGGTATATATGGTATACTCTCAGGTTTTCTCAAGTGGAATATTCATGAGGGTAGGTAAGCAAGAGTGGGAGGGCTAGATAGGCCTCAGCTTCTGAGAGCCACAAGGCCAGGTCCCTTTAATCCATGCAAAGAGCTTTCATGCATATAGTTTTTAACGCGCATAATGTGATTATAGAATCAGGAAGTTCTTTAACATATGCTTTTCTTTGGGCTGGTTACTTCACCCAGCACATGCTGGGTAGTGACAATGTTTTTCACAAAGCCTGTGATTCACTTTCATGTTAACTCCTCAAAAACACCAAGCATTATACTGTGAAATCCCGGTGCTAATTAAACAGCAAACATTTACCTTTCTGGATATTTTCAGGTTTACTTACAAAACTGAGCATGTGTATATTTATTTTTTAAAGCTCAAACATTTACACTTGCAGAAGCTGTGCCTACAAGCAGTCAAAAGTATAAAGCAGGTTTTAATAAAATATAGAAAAAAACTGAACACTTCATTGCAGATACATTGCATTCAAAGCTAAGCTTCCATAGCAGTGTGATTCTTCCTTTCATAGATTCACCATAGTCTTTCTAGATAAAAATTGGGCTGTTCATCCTTTCACCACCTCTCTGTGTAAATGGACATAACGTTATTAGAATCCTAGTAGACATCTGGGATAAACTGCTTTACAGGGCCGTTTTTGAGGCCAAGCAACACTGAATATCTAAAAGGTAACAAAAGCAAATACCTAGGAGTTTCACTTTTGGTGAATGACATGTGAAAACTCTTGCTAACATGAATGTGAAAATAGGAAGAAAAAAAAGTAAAATTGTTTCAGCCAATTCTCCCAAGCAAGACTTCTGCGTGAACGTAGCCTGCTCTTTCTGATGCACTCCACATTGCATCTGTGGATTTTGTTCATTTGAAAAAATAGATCTGTACAGCCTTCTTTAAGTTATTCAATGCCTGAAGGTACTGTGTCTTTCCCCCACCATATACTCTCCATTCCATAAACATGAGGTGTACAGAATAATCTAAGCAAAGGTGACTCTAGTCCAAGATAAGAAAATAGAATGGATTTTCCTGGTTTTGAGTTTCCAGATGTGTTCATAATTCAGGTGCACAGCGGTAGCGAAAGCAGACGCCTCAGAATCCGGGGACATGAGAGGTTGAGCAGCGGGCTGCGAAGTGGTTCAGAAGGTGGCTAGTGACACCCTCCGTGCCGGTGCGGACTGCTGTTCGACCCATGCAGCGCCTGCAGCTCATGCAGCGCCTTAAGATCTGTAGTCCTTTTTGCTGTAGGGCTTGTTGCGCAATATGTTATCGATTTCATTTACCACGTGTGATGTCATCTTTGGGAGAACCTGAGAATGTGAGAAGTACAAAGGCTGTGGTCAGTACCTGACGCCTGTTCCTTGTGCTCAGTATTCAGCAAAGCTGTCTAGACTTGCATACATTTATAAACGACCACTAGAATGTTACTTCCCCTGCAGACAGGAAGCTCCTTGAGTTCAGGGACCTTGTTTTGGTCATCCTGCATCTCCAGAGCCTGTCAGAGTGCCTGGCCCACAATAGGTGCTCATAAGTATTGGCTGAATAAATGAGGGCTCGTGGAAATATGGTGAAGGATGGCTACAGGTTAGATGGAATAGCAGGAGAAAGTGAGAAGTCTGTGAAATGGAGTGACGCAGGTGTAGAGGGAGTGGCAGAGGTGCGGGGAGGGTAGGAGTGCGGAGAGTTGAGGCCAAGAGTGGAAGACCTCGGGAAGCCAGTTTTGGGAGTTGGGACTTTATTCTGGAGACAGTGGGGAGCTCTCAGGACTTCCCAGCTGGGAGGGACCCCATCAGACACCTGATGAGTTGGAGGAGGCTGAAAGGGAACACAGGGCTTAGAAACGCACTGCTGTCCTAGCCAGAGACACTAAAGCCTGAGCTAGACGGTGGTGGTCGAGTGGGAAGAGAGTGACCCGGAGAGACATCTGGGAGCACGATTGTGATTTCAAGACGCGGTGACTAAGAGGATATTGGTGCAGGTGATCTGTTGAGACGAGCCCACAGGAGTAGTTTGGGGTAAAGTGTGTGAGTTGGAGGGGCCCGTGGGTGACCATGGAGGCAGCCGGAAGTGCAGCTGTGGAGCTTAGTGGGAGCGGAAGGAGGATCTGCGAGTCACGGGCAGGGTCACGCTAGCTGAAGCCCTGGGGAAGGATGAGCTCACCTCGGGCTAGCTCGCGTTTACTGCAAGGAGTGGGCCAAGGGCACACATCACACCGGGAGACAAGGGACAGAGGCAGACTGTCTTGCAGGAATAGTCTGACCCTGTGTGGAGACGGTGGTGAAATGCACCCACCATGGCCGAGTCTGCGGTTTTAGCCTCACCCTTCCCCTGCTGCAGTCCTGTTGGACAGGGTGACCCAGTCTCCACTCAGTGGGTTTGGTAAAAGACTACAGCTCCTTCCCCACTAGTTCTGGTACCTTTTTATAATTTGTTGTTGTTGTTGTTGTTCTGGTAAGATTTTCTTCTCCGAAGCTGAGGGAGCCTTTGGTTTCCCACCAGCTTTGGAGTCTCAGAGGATCTAAACGAATGTGCTATTTAAAGAGAGACTGCAACAAGACCCAAGTCTCGAAACTGGACTTGTTGGACGTTTTGTGTCTAAAACATCCTAGGTTAGCCATGTGAGGAAAAATGCTTCATTCATTACACCAATACGAAAAGAGATACAAACATTAGAAAAATGAAACCATAAAAGTACTAGAATAAAACATGAACAAAAATACATAGAGCTGCAAGACCTAAATATTCAAGAGAAGCCATATATCCAGAATTTTATGTGAAGTTGCCTAATTTCTGTTTTGAAACAGTCTCACTTACTACAGATTACACAAACTTCCCACAAGCTAGCAATTTTGCAACCATGACTGGAATAACGAGTGGGGTGGGGTGGGTGAGGGGAGGTCTGCCCAGCGTGGCTGGGTCTGGTGGGTATTAGGAAGTCCTCCTGGGAGTGGGTCATTGTTGAGCTGGACCTTGGGGATGGAGCGGATCCTGTCAGGCTGTGGACACTGCCAGCAGAGGACCAGTTACTTCCGGGGGTTAGGATTCCAAGGGAGGTCGGGGGACGGCTTAGCAATCTAAAAATTCAGATGACAGCACATCCCTCCTCCTTAAACCCTCCAAAGGATTTGCTCCACGTAGAGCAGAACTCTGATTCCTCTAGTGTCCTGTGTGACCCGTCCACTGCAGTGCACCTGCTGTCCCTTATGCTCACTACACGTTGGCCACACTAGCCTTAGGCTGGCGGCTCCTAGAAAAAGTCAAATGCCTCCCCATCTCAGGGCCTTTGCACTCCTCTTCCCTGTGTCTGAAATGCTCTTTCCAGGGTGTCTCACGTGCTGTGTCCTCCACTTCTCCTCTTCAGAATACACATACCCCGGAGGAGCCTTGGCAAGGACATGTCTAAAGCAGCTCACTCATGTCCCAGTTAGTCTCTACTACGTTCGCCATCTTTATTTACTTAATATCCCTTCTCACTTGAAATTATTTTATATGCTTGTTTACTCTGTGCCTCTCCCACTGGACTGTAAGTTCCTTGAAGTTTGTGTAATATCTTTCTGGTTTCCTGTGTTGTCCCTGGTGCCAGGTACAGAACAGGCTCTCGGAGATCTGCCAAATGAACTAGGGGATAGAGTTCTTAATTCATTTTTTCTCAGGCAGCTGTGAGCTCTTTTTTTTTTTTTTTCAATGGAGTACTGGGGCTTGAACCCAGGACCTCCTGCATGCAAAGCATGCACTCTACCACTAAGCTATACCGTGCCCTCCCCCACACCCCCACCCTATGAACTTTTGAGGGCAGGAGCCTGTGTTTATCTCAGAGCTGTCTGCCTGGCGTGGTGCTAGATACAGAATAAGTACTCAGTCCATATTAGTGGAATTGAGATCACTGGATCGAATTTCAGTTTTTTGTGTATAGAGTGTTCCCCTATTTCCCCCTCATCATTGTGTAACCTTTGTCTATTCCCAGAGAGTAAGTGACAGTAAGAGAAGGTGGGCGGCTTTCATAAGAGGGAGCATTCTCCAGGCAGGGTCGGGGAACCCTGCAATCCAGGAGGATTGTGGGCTGGGAGGGGTTCTCAGAAGCAGAGAGGCAGAGATGATCTCCCTGCCGCACAGCCCTGAGAGAGGAGGTGGTGGGGAAGGAAATCTGCACCGTTTCTCTCCCAACATATTCCAGGCCGTTCTCAAAAGGACTTTTAAACATTTTAAGTTGAATCAAGTCTGTCCCCACCTCCATCTGTCCCCTTGTTGGAGAGGTAACAGGTAAGTGCGGTGGACGGGGGAGAAGCTGTGAGACAGTTCTGTTACCCAATGAGCAAGAGGGAAACACACAACCTCACCTGTTGGGGGCAGGTGATAGCTTTGGTGAGAGTCTATAGAGTCTTGGGCGGGCTCACTCCTGGAGCCCCTCGCTGGGCTGAGAGCAGGGTGGGCTCAAGACTGAGGTGTGGCCTTTAGGGGACTGGACCCTCTCCTCCTCAGAACTCCCAGGAACATCTCTCTCCTATTTCTCCGAGGACAGCTGCAGGCTCCACCCATGACTGGCCATCCCCATGGGGTCGGGGGGTGCCCCTGAAATTGCTGTCAGGGTGATAGAGTCCTACGATGGTAGTTCAAAGTAGAATTTTGAGCCTATTTCCCTTAAATGTGGCAAACATTCATTCAACAGATATTTCTTGAGCATTGACTAAGGGCCATAGAGTATGGAAGGAACTGGAAAATCAGCGGGAAAGCAAGGAAGACACAGGTCTCTGACCTCAGGGAGTTCCGTCCAGCAGTGGAGATCGGCAACTATACTGCACTGTCATGAGTGTCGTGCCGGGGATTCAGGATGTGAGGAGAGCGGAAAGGAGGGGCTCGGTACACTCTAGACTGACAATTAATATTCGTGGGAGAAACAAATGAATAAAGGGTGCATGAAGATGGTCCTAAGGCTACCACATTTCAAGCAGGTGGTTAAGCAGGCTTCTTCAGTGAGGCTGGGAACCCAGTCATCAGGTGTAACTTTGCTTGGCCCTTAGAGTGCACTGTCCCACAGAAACAATCCTGAGGAATGGCCCAGAGAGCTCTCCTGTTAATAAGAAGACCCTCCTTGAGGGAGGGTGTAGCTCAGTGGTAAGACCCATGCTTGGTGTGCACGAGGTCCTGGGCTCAATCCTCAGTGCCCCCGTTAAGGGGGAGAAAAGGAAGACCCCCTCTTACCTGGATCGATGGGCTGTAAAAGTTCTGTTGCTTCTTGTGCCTTTGTCCACATTTCCCCTCCACCTCCATCTAGGAACAGGTAGCCTGTTCCCTATATTAGGGGCTTCCACACACCCATGACACAGTGAAGGACAGAGGTGGGGAGACACGGGACACTGCCTGGGGGGCACCTTCAAAGGCACCATGAAATTCCCTAGAATTGGTTTCAAAGGGCTGCAGTACTTGCCTGAATGGCACCAAGGTTTTCGATGAGTTGTTCGGGGGTGGATGATCCCAGGAGCACAGAGCTCACGCCCTCGTTTCTCAGGCACCAGGCTGGGGAGAGAGAGCACTGGGTCAGGAAGTCAAAGCCCTTCTGATTCTTGATGAGCTTCTAAACCCTATCCGTAGCTCCCGTTGTTGCAACCAACACTTAACAAACTGTGGGAGGGTGGGTGGTGTGCTCTGGGATGAAAAACCTCAGCCGCACCCCCTGTTGTGTGGAAGACTTAATTGTGGGATTAGGGCTCCTCTGCCCCTACAACTGGGGCATACAATCCAGCTCTCCACCCAGGAAAACATCCTCGTTCCTGAGAACACCTGGAACTGCTCACTGGTGGACGTCTGGATTCTTGTCTCCCTCTGTCTTTCCATCTCACTCGTGCGCTCACTCTCCCCTCATCTGTTACACAGAGTCCTTGTAGACCCTGGGTGTCTGGGGCTTCTTTTCCACTGACCTGTCAGCCCTCTCTGGCCCTCCTTCCATTTCTTCCTGACCTGAGATTCATCCTGTGTGGACCATCTCACCCTCTCACCAGCCCTCACTCCTCTCCGCCTCTCGAGCAACCTCTACCCTTAAACCCTCGATTCAGCCCCTGCCCCTTGCTCTCAGCAGATCCTTTGGCCTCCTCCTTTATGTAGAAAATGAAGTCCATCCTGTAGGATGTTCCTTCATGCCCTGCTCGCCGACAGACACAAGTCTGCATTCCCATCCTCCGGTCTCAGAGGATACGGTGTGCTGTCTGCTCAAGGCCAAGCCACTCCTTTTGCCTCTTCTTGGACTGGATTCATCCATTCTTCCTCTCTCGTTCTTTCAATCTCCCAAATTTTTGATTTCTTACCATCCTCTTCCTCTTTACCAACAAAACATGCTCAAATTTCTCCCATTCTAAAACAAGCTGCCTTCATACCTGTGTAGCCACTGCCCACCCCACCCCTCCCGCCCTTCTTCAACTTGTAAGAGGCCAGTTTGGACTCCCTGCACCCCCCACACATCCCAGTGCCCTGCATACCATGCCAAATTCCCAGGACCCTCCCTGTGGTTAGAGGAGACTTCCCAGTTTGTGGCTGCCTGAAACTAGAGGTTTCCCTGGGCCCAGGGGGGCCATGTCTGCTGGATGGCCCTGCTAGTGCCCACAGGCACTGTGGGCTTCTTGCTACTTACTATGCCTGTCCCTCTTGCATCCCCAGTCTCATTTGCTGGCATCACCAGCAACTTGGACTTCCGATCCAGAGACTGAGGAGTGATCCTTAGACACTGTCCTTTTCTGACCCCACGTTCCCTCTTAATTGCCAGGTCTAGGTGATTGTGCCTCCTAAATATTTCTCTAATCCAGTGGTTCTCAAATTTTAGCCTGCAGAACCTCTGGCATCTCCCAGAGGGTGTGTGCAACACCGATTCCTAGGTGCTGTACCCAGAGTTTCTGACCCAGGAGGCGAGGGGGGCTGAGGATCCACCTTTCTGATAAGCGCCCAGGTGCTGCCACTGCTGCTGGGGCTGTGCTTTTTTTTTTTTTTTAACCTTCATTGAGGTCAGATTGACCCATTTTAAGTGTACAATTCAGTAATTTTTCATAAGTTTATCAAATGTGCAACCATCACCATTTAAAATTCAGTTTTACAGAAACACTCACAGACATAAACAAACACGGAGTGGGTAGAGGGGTGGGGAGGGATAAATTGTGAGTTCGAGATGAGCAGATGCACACTACTATATATAAAATAGACAAACAGCAAGGGCCTACTGTACAGCACAGGGAACTGTATTCAATACCTTGTAATGGCCTATAACGAAAAAGAATGTGAAAAAATACAAAAATATGTATGTATATAACTGAACCACCAGGCTGTACCCCAGCAACTAACACAACATTGTAAACCGACTCTATGCCAATTAAAAACCAGTTTTAGGACATTTCCATCATCCCAATAAGATCCTTGATGCCCACTCACAGTTAACTCCATTTCTATCCCCAACTCCAGGAAACCACTCATGTACGTTGTGCCCCTATGGACGTACTGTTTCTGGACAGCTCATCTAAGTGAAATCATATAGTGTGTCTTCTGTGTCTGACTTGCTCAGTGTAGTGTTTGTGAGGTTCATCCGTGTCACGGCATGGGTCAGCGTGTTGCTTCTTGTGTCGCGGAATCTTACTCCAGTGTGGGGCTGCGGGGCCCACACTGGAGAGTCACTGCTCTGGTTCCACCGCCCACCGCCCTCATTCAGGCCCTCACCCTCTCTCCTGCACACATCCAGCAGTAGCTTCTCCAGATATAAATCTGTCCAAACCACTTGCCTGACCAAAGGTTCTTCAACGTGTGCCTGCCGGAATCCGTGTCCTGTGAGAGGAAGTGCTCACTTCGCACCCTGACGAACCTTACCAGGAGGCCCTCCTGTCCAGCTTCCTGCTTCCTCGCTCCCTGCCTTAAACTTTGTGTTCCAGCAGCCCTACGTGTAAATCCTCTCCCCCCGCCAGATGCCGTACTGGGTTTCTTCTCCGCAAGCCCTCGGCTCAAGCTGTCCCATTGGTCTGGAATATTCTTTTGCCTCCTCCCTTCCTTTGCCTCACTGATATCTGCTCTTCATTTGGGATTCCTCCTGGACACTGCCTTCTCCCCAAGTTCTTCCTTGAGTCCCAGGCTGGGTTGGGAGCACCTACATTTACTTCCAAGCCCTCCTGTGCCCTTGTCAGGAATTTTACTACCACTCTGTATTAAAATTATCTGTTAAGTTCTTGACTCATAATGACACAGGAGGGAAGGGGGCAGGGCACAAACATTAAAAGAATGACACAGCAGTCAGGACCAGGATGGTGGAAGAGCCAACTCCCAGTAGACCCTGAGCTTCAATGTACGCTCACTGTAATACGTTAGGTGCTAAATGGCCCTCCCACAGGTGCCAGGACAGTTCCAAGGTTGACCATAAAAGGTCAAAAAGTGGGTGATGGCCCAATTCCTGGGAATCCCAGCCCCTTCCCGAAAGTAGTTGGAGTAATCCTCCCATTTGTTAGCGTATGAAGTTACCGAGTCCATAAATACTAACAACCCCACACCTCGTGGCTGATCTCGTTTCTCCCAGCCGACCCCATGCTCTGAGGCCGCTGCTCCCTTCTGAGTAGATGGCCTGCACTCTGTCTATGGAGTCTACATCTCTCTGAATATATCTACTTTTACTCAACTATGGCTCTCTTGGATTCTTTCTTGTGCAAAGCCAAGGACCCTCACTTGATGGGGTGCATGCCAGGGACTCGCCTGGAACCTGGGACGTGGCCATCTTCCTGTGCCCCCCATTTTTCCTGTATCAGTGAGATGTGTGTTATTTGCAGTCAGTTGCTCAGCACCCAGCCCAGCACCTGCACACAGTAGGTGCTTATTAAGATGTTTGTTGAATAAATGTAGGCACGAATGATTGGTGGATATCCCTGAATGCCTCTTCTGCCCCCATTTGCTCAGGGCCTGAAGTCAACGAATACTCCTAAGCTGTTACCACGCTCAGACCTTTTAAGGCCATCACTAAGTCTTTCCGTATGGGCAGAATAATGCTGTGTGTCGGCGACAAGCCAAGTGATTCCCAGGCAGTGGTGTGGTGGTGGTTTCTTTGTTTGTTTGTTTTGTTTTTTTCTTTTTGGCTGCCTTACTTCCTGCTTTGCACTTAGAACTCTTTTTTGGCTCTAGTGGAAGTTCTGAGGGTAAAGCAGGGCAGTGGGAAAATTATTGCCCAAGAACTACCTGCCGTCAGCAACAGCTGATTCCCTCATGGGCCACAGGGCATGGGAGAATCCACTGGGCAGAGCTGGCCAGCCAGAGGTAAAGTAGATGATTGGAGATAATTAGCATCTAATCAAGTGTCACCCACAGGCACATCCAGAGTGCCCCCTTAGGAGCAAGGTGTGACTGCTGCTCTTGTGCAGGCATGTGACCTGGGAACCAGCCCACAGTTGCATTCAAGCAGTTTGTTTTCTGCCAGAGGAGCTCCCCTCCTCCCCGACGCTTCTAGCAGATCAAGGGTAATATGCCTGGAAATAATTTCCCTCTTGGGTTGAGAGTTCTGTGGTTAAAAACAAAACTACTTGTTTACAAAGAAAAGAAAAGAAAAATGACAGGCAAGAAAGACATCTGGGGGCGCAGAGGGAGGAAAAGGAGAAACAAAGCACGTTGTTAACTCAGACTCTATAAAGAGGGTCTTTCATGTACATCTAACGTCCAGAGAAAGTCTAAATGTGGTAAAGATTTCCTCTTTAGAAGGACCATGTTCTTCTATCTCTTTCAGAACTAAATTTAATACTCATTTTCATGTTACCACCTAACAACCGTATTTATGGCTGTGTTTCAAGAATAAGTGTTTCTCTTTGTGCCTCTTACTCTTGACCACATGCCACAGCGAGGAGTGGACAGTTTCAGTCCAGGGTGTCTAATTTTTCACAAAAACATCTTCACCATCATCACCTTTACAGTTACTGAGCACCTATTTGCTTTACATACATAATTTCTTTTTACTCAGCAAGGTTGTGAGATATATATTATTATACCCATTTTACAGATGAGAAAATTGGTATCAGGTTAAATAACTTGCTGATGGTCAAACAGCTAATACCTTTTACTGTAATCATTAAAGCTGTAGGGAGGCTAACTAATCACATTAAACACAGTCTTTGATTTTTTCTCACAATCTTTGATTTTTGTTTTGTTTTGTTTTTTGGGAGAAAAGATTAAAGCAACTGTCATACATACACTTCGGTAAATGGTATTTCCCCCCTAAAACCATCTCCCATTTCCATCTTTCTATGACTATTAACTGCAACTACCATTTTCCGGCCTTCCACCCTCAGAAGAGTCAAGCATCTAACAAATATTCTATTATGTTATTTTCTTTGTGTAGAACTTAACCTTGAGCTTTTTACCTCACTGGTTCACACTGTCTGATTTGTCCCAATTCTTGCTGTTTCTTAATCCTTTCTGGAACCTATGCCCATTTTATTCTGTTCTCCTGGCTACTACCTGAATTCTTTTCAGTCTCTCCATTTGTAAAGTGGAGATAATGCTGGCAGAACTCCATTAACATCGGTAAGACAGGGCTTGTCCTAGCACCCACCTCCTGGGATTGTCCTGACCATCGAGGCGACAGGACAGTGAGCAGAAAGAGCTCATCACAGAGCCTGGCAAATATCCCTCAGCAAGGGAACTGAAAATCTGGATGCTTCTCTGTTTCGTACTTAGTCTCTAGTCAGATGTGCTACTGGAACACGGGACATGTGTTTAGCCTGAACTGACCTGTGCTGTGGGTATAAAATACATCCTGGATTTTGACGACTTAGTATGAAAAAAGAGTGTGAAATATCTCCATAATTTTCTGTATTTATTACTTGTTAAGATGGTAATGTTTTGGCTATATGGGGTTAAATAAAATCCATTATTAAAATTCATTTCACCTATTTCCTCTTTGCTTTAACATGGCCACTGGAAGATGTAAAATTAAATGCGTGTGCACATTATATTTCTACAGGACGGTGCTGGCACATGTGGCTTTCAAGTGTTACCGGTGACCGGGCCCTTGCATTAACTATTCTCCTGGCCCTTGGAAGATTCAGGGTGACACGGCTCCCCTAGGGTAGGCTTTCCATCTGGCAGTAGCCTTGCTCTGCTCCTCAGACTCTCACCAACCCCGCCTTGGCTTCAACGGGGATGGAAAATTGGACCAGAAGCCAAGGATGTCAGTACCCAGTTCAGGGGCGCAAACCCTCGACACAGGGAGGATGTATGCCTTTTCTCTGGCGTGTTCTTGTTTAAACTGTGTCATGAGGGAAAGGAGAAGGAAGTAAGAAAAGCGTTTCAGCACATGGAACGTTCAGGGGAACCCGAACCTCTTTTTAGATAGTATTAACCAAGAGTTTATGCTTCAGAGATAGTCTGCCCCTGCAATAGGTATTCTGTCATGAGGGAGATGTGGATTGTTAGTGGAAAACGATTTCGTTTTCTGCCATCCAGCAGAGCTGCCCCTCCCCGGTGACTGCCTTACCCACGGCGAGCTGAGGCAGCGTGCATCCCAGACGCTCCGCAATCGGGGAAAGGTCTTTCAGCTTGTTCTGCTGTTTTCTCCCTTCTTCACTGACAATCCTTTCCTTCAACCACTGGTAGCACTAGAGATAAACAGAACATTTAAATGTTAGTGTCTGGTAAGGGCTGGATGCAAAGATTGTTAATTCAATAAAAAACAGAAGAGCCTCGTGGTAAATTCCTGAATCTTCTTGGTTCTGCCCTTCCTGTTCGATGGCCACAAGGATGCCTACGCCTTTATGCAAGGAAATGTTCCCCATGGTCTCGCTCCTTGTTTATTGGTTCAAAATAGATTGATTTTCACTAAAATTCACCATTCAAATCCACTGACATGTACAAAAGTTGTTAAAATCCTGACACATAATTAATTATATCCCGTCTGGAAGTCATGTTTCTTATTGTGATAGCCTTCAGAATGTGGGGGGGTGGGGTGGGCACCGAGGTCTACTATGTTTCCTTTTTGTCAGGAAAGCTTTCTGCTCCAAGAAAGCCATTGTCTTACATTCTTGCTATGATTTTCTTTCTTTCTCCCGCCTTCAATTTGCTCCTAGTCTCTCTTGAATCCTTAATAACGGGGCTTTATTGTTACTTTTCTCAGCTTCTTCCTAGAAGCAGCCATGAATGGTAACACTCACTGATAGGTGCCAAGTATAGTTTACAATTTTTGAAGTGGATAAAGACTTTCCCAAATGTATATTACCTTCTATATAACGTTTGAAACTTAAAAAGGCAAGGGAACTTAAAAAGGTTAACGGGAAACTGTTCTTTAAAGTCTATGAGAAGAAACTGACTCTGATGTAGACTGGAAAGTGAGCCTAATTTCCTAAAGATGAGGAGAAAAATCTAGAACTTCTCCACGCCATGCTTTCCAGAAGGTTTTGCTCTTACTGCAAAACGAGGCACAACAGTCGCCTGTATGTATACGTATGACTGAAGCACTGTGCTGTACACCAGAAACTGACACCGCATAAACTGACTATACCACAACAAAATATATTCAAAAAAACCCAAACAATAGACGCTTACATACAAAGCTAGCACTAAGCAGCAACACCCAAAGGAAAAGAATATTTGTAAGAATCTGTTAGTCTGTTTCAGTGACAATAATAAAATCCATACCCCTGTGTGGCAATGTGGACTTTCTCCATTGCGTGTGTTTATGACATAGTTGCCACCACAGAACTTCACCTTCCCAAAGGCAGCTGAAGGCTGGGCTATCGTCACAGAATCTCCAACCACATGATTTCAATAGGCTGCTGGCTGCTTTTTTTTTTTTTTTCCATCACTCTAAAACAGTATTTCTAAAGGAAAGGGTAACCACATTATGTTTTATTATGATTTCTGGGATGATTTTTCAGATTTGGAAAAGAAAAAGGGCGAGCTGCCCCAGTTCTGTTCTGTCCGCCCCTTGGATCTCAGTGGCTGATGGTCTGGCTCCTCATGTGAAGTTTGCTTAGAGAGACGGCCAAGAGTTTCCCCAGCCTCGGCTCTGGGAGACCTCCACGTCTTCCAGGAGGAAGGGTGGCCTGGAGCATCTCCTGAGAGATGACAGCTGATGCCAGCAGGGATGAGGTGGGCAGTTATGAGTGATGAACACTGAGTGGGAGCCCAGCAGCCTTCCCCGGCCAGCGTGCTGGGGACATCAGGGAGCCCCTGAACTTACTCTTACTGTCCCCAAGGGGAAAAACATCACCAATCCGCACTTCAGTTTCATAGCATCTTTCAGGGGACCAGTATCTCTGAATGTTATTCAAATGAAAAGAAAAAGGTTGAAAACCAATAGCCAAATGCTTCTTAAACAACTGCTTTTTATTGTAACTGGGAGAGTTCCTGAGGTTTCACTATATACCACACACATAATGACTGATTTATTTACCAATCTCATGAAACTCCATTTTTAAAATCTTATTATCTGCAATGCATTTTTATTCTTAGGGTTGGGTTACAAGTTAGAAATATGTATGTGTGTACACATTACACACACACACACACACAACCCATATTGAGAAGACGATTTCTGAAGGTAACAAATACCAAACATTCATTTATTGAGTGCTTCTCTCCCCACCCTCAACATAAATCTCATTGTTGCTTTAATCACTGGAAAATATAAGCATGTTAGGGTTTTTAAAAAGTAGACCCACAGTATTTATGCTGTTTTCCTCACACCAAAGGGAACAAATGTGTTCTGGAAATAAATAGCTTTAACTGCTTTACAAGTGGGAAAATGTTAGCACAGGGAGGAGATGAGGCTTAGTTAAGATATTAATGAAATATGGAAGTGAACCAGTGTTTTCTGTAGGAAGGCTGGTGGTGGGTGTGGTTGTGAGCAATAATAAACCCAGCTTGTTGATTGTGGGCAGTAACCCATGAATCAAAAGATGAAATTCTGTCTTCCAGCCCTAACATACTGGTTACCATATTGCTGCAGTGATCTGACTACATGTTGACTGGTCTTCCTAAGTGAAGGCAGGGATAGCTTCTCCATCATCTCAACATCTCTAGTCTTGACACAGTGGTTGGCATGGAGTAGCCAGTATGGCCAGTGAGAGAGGGATCTGAGAAACCCTTCAAAGATAGATCTCTTCAATTTTTCAGACTGAGCACAGACACTTCCTCCCTAATGCAGTACAACTCGGTTGGCAGCCGTGCATGCATCCACAGTGCTATGGATGCCACATAGTTTCATAATTCACCCCTTCTCTAGCCTGTCTCCAAAACGTCCTTGAGGTAATCCTGAGGGTTGAGACTGTCCCATTCATCCCTGTATCCTCAGCCCTTAGCACAGGGCCCAGCCCTGAGTAGACACCCCGTAAATATTTGCCAAAGGAACCACTGAATGAGCTTTTCTCCAGAGATGAGTTGGCTACTACTTTTACCCGTAAGTCACAAAGTCCTCTAACACTTCCTAAAGCCCATCTCTTTCCTGTCTTCCAATGCCGGGACCATTATCTATGAGACCTCAATTAGGTAGCAATACCAAGGTGGGAAGAGTCCGTGAGGTCAGCTCTGAAGCCCCCAGTTGTTTGTTAGTAAATCCTAGATTTGAACTCAAGTAGCAACATAAAAGCCATGCACAGAATCAGTCACATTTCATTACTGAACCTTGAATAATTCAGCATTCAAGATCATCGACTATTTCTATTTAAACATCAAAGCTATTTTGGCTCAAAAGAGCAGCAAAATCTTCACTGTTGAGGTTGAAATCTCTAGGTAAAATGCTGGAGCTAAAAAATTCCCTTCTGAAATTATCCCATAATGTGCAAATCCTTAGTTTCTTCACGTGAACACATGGTGTACTTGGACTGCCTCTCTTTCCCCACTTTGATTCACCTCAGTTTGCATGTGTCCTATTTTCCTTTGACAGAAGGGTACATATTTTTATGATTTTTCTAACAATAGGGAAGAGCTAGCGGCCCATAAATTGTATTGCACTCTTCATTTCTATGTAAAATTTCTACTTAAAAGCTACTCTTGATCAGACTTTGTTGATCCTCAGATATGGCTCATGGCATTCATTTAAGAAACATTTACTGAGTACTTATCATGTGCCAGGATCTGTGATGAGTTACACGAGTTAGTTTCAGTTTCTGTCCTAAAGGTATTCACATGTCATAGTCTGGACTGGAGAAGTGTCTTGTAGTGGGGGTGAGTTCCTCAGAAGCCATGTTTGTACTGCCTCCTTATGGTAAACACCCTAACAACAGTGCATGATGTGGGCTGATCACAGCATCTTACCCTCTGGGCCACTATCATTGGTCTAACAGGTTGGCACGTGACCCAAGCTTGGCCAGTCTTTTCTGGACTGAATCTGATAAACAAAAGATCTCTTTTTCTCTCAGGTTCTGTGCCTTTAAGGAGGTAAGCCTGCAGTCACCAGCGTTCCTGCTCCTGGCCCTGGGGAGAAGGCCCATTTGCAGTAGAAGAACGAGATACTCACAGGCAGAGAGAAACAGAGCAAAGGGAGGGTCCTGACAATGTGCCTATCTATGGATGGAGTCACCCCAGGGGCCATCCCACTCCATCCTTCCCAGAGGCTGCCTTCCTGTGCCGGCCCTTCTTTGATTAAATTAGGTTGAATTAAATCCTATTGCTTGCAGTCAGAGGATTTAAGACTGTAGAAGTGTTTATGGAATGATAGAGGGAGGTGTAAACAGAAATAAATAAATAAAGCCTAAGTAAAAATAAATAAAAATATAGAGTTTCCTAAAATAAGAAAGGCTTCCCAGAGTGAAGACAAGCTTTGTCTTTAGAGGAGAGCTTCCACAGCAGGTTCAAAAGAAGGGCCTTTCTGGGAGGCAAAAAAGAATACAGTGCATTTGGGTGGGAAATGAAGCAATATGATTTAGGGAGAGACCAGAATGGAAAAGTCAGCTCAACTAAGATCCCAAGAGTGTTTCTGAATGCTTTTCTGTGGGTTTTTAGATTTTGTCCTATAATCAATGGTTAGGAAGTCATTAAAGGATTTTAAGCAGAGTTATGATACAGTCAGATCAATCTTTTAGAACGTTAATTGGTCACAATGGTGGGTAGTTGAAAAAAGGGGGAAAACATCAGAGCAAACCAGGTCAGAAGTGACGAAGATCCGAACAAGGGCGGTACAAGGGATGGACCACAGAGGGTCAGGATGTGGACTGGAGGAGGAGTTGTCCCACTGGATGAGAGTGAGGGAGAAGAGGCAGTCTGAGAGACTGCTTTGGCTTCTGACTGCGAGGACCAGATGGATGGGTGGAGGCACTGTTTACCGAGAAGGAAGGGCAGGTTCTGGGGAGTGAGGATAGATTCCATTAGGTGTGACGGATGCCCATGGGACAGCCACGTGGAGACGTCTAATCGACACAAAGAAGGAGTGGTGTTTAGCTCAGCAGTGGAATCAGAGCCAATGACCTGATTCAGAAGTCCCTGTAACAGAGGTGGGCCAGAGGCAGCCTCCCAGAATCCCCACTGGGGAGTATTGCTTTCTAAAAGATAGGTATTTTCCACACTGGGTTAATTTGGTCTGCAAATATAATTCAATATTTAAAACAAACACAAAATATTAGCATCTTTATTTTATTGGTGTAACTTGCAACAGCCAGTGTGAAATACCAACCGCTTATTCTATTCTGAGGGGAGGTGAAAATTGCCAACTTATTCATCTACTTACCTAGCTCTTTTTTTTTTAATGTTCTTACTATGAGAATTCTCATTCACTCTTTGTTTTTATTTTTTAATTGTTTTGTTTTGGAGGGTAATTAGGTTTATTTATTTATTTAAACTTTGGGGGGAGGGAGGGAGGTAATGAGGTTATTTGTTTATTTTAATGGAGGTACTGGATATCAAATCCAGGACCTCATGCATGCTAAGCATGCATGCTGCCACTGAACTCCACCCTCCCCTATTCATTCTCTCTTAATGTTGATATATATGTGTAAAATAATAATAATTATTATTATTTGCTTTACTCTACTCGAGTAATTTTTCTAAGTGCACATATATTAGTCTGGAAAACACTCAGACTGATGATTTAAGAAGCCTTGAGAGGCTGCGGAGCTCTGAAGAAGCGTGCTTTGTGACGGGCTGTCTTTCCCCTGCTGAGTGTTCTTCGTGTTTTTTTGTTAAGGATGTTTCAATAGATGCTGAAAAGTCAACAGAAATATTTTTGAGTTGCTTTTGGGCTTAGCCACCTTCAAATATTCTGCGTCTCCCTTTTTTCCCCCCTCCTTTTCTTAGTATATTTCTGAAAGTGTTTCAGCTGTTTCTAGGCCTTTCTCAAATAGTGATGGGGGTCAGCCAATCATATACTCCAAATACAGTGTAGCTACTTCTTCCTTTAAAAACCTGAGTTTGAAGGGAAACACAAATGTCTTTTGGGAGATAAACTGACAGCCAGGAGACCTGGGCTCTACTACTAACTTTATTATGAGTTTATTCTCTTAGATTGTTATCTAATCTCTTTGGGCACAGTTTCTGCACCTGGAAAAGGTTTACTCCCTTATAAGAGTAGTCTGAGAACAAAGACCCTGCATATACGGAAGTACTTCGAGCTTTTCGGAAAGTCCCTGAAAGAATGCACGGCAACATGCTTAGCTACAGCTGATTAAATGCCGTCTGTATCATTTATCTTTGTGAGGATAAAAGGAGATGAATAGAAATACTGGCCCGTGGTAGGTGCTCAGGAAAGTCACAATTTTCAATGCTTTTCTTTCTTCTTCACTCCTTTTTTGCCTTCTTCCTTTTATACCTTCTCTCCTTTAAGTTTTTCTTTGCTGACTTACTCAAAACCTTCCATTTTTCAGAAGCAAGACCATATTTAATTTTCCAGGGTAATTAGTGTGATAATGCAAAACTAGAAACAGGACCATGGCGCCATGTTTTAGGAAACATCTATATTGTATTCAAGCTAATAGTCAACTGTTACAGGAGGAAAGAAAAGTGACAGACCTAGAGTCCTGAGAAGGTCCTGATTAGGGAAGCACATGGTGGTTCCAGACACACTGATTAGAGGGTTGATGGTTTAGGCTTAACTTGAGTTGTCCTCGTGCTGACTCTGTGCTGACTGATGGAGGCAAAAGGCTGTGTCAGACTTTTGCTTCCTCTTAGGGGCCTTTGGCCTGTGTGCATTTTAAAAATGTCTATATTCTCTCTCCCCTGACGTTCCAGAGTAATTTGTGATTCTAATGTTATTACACATTCTCTCAAGTTTTTAAAAACATGTTGTTATTAATAAGGAGAGATGTTTGGAGTACTCTCCAATAAAGTAATCATCAAGATGTTCTGAATGGAGGTAATTTTATGCCAATGAACTTGAATGTCTTTATGCTTCAGAAAAGAATTTAAGCTACAGGACTCAGCGGCCAGAGCTGATCTCTGCAAACGCCAGCCTTGAGCCCCAGTGACAGAGGGTTGGCTCTGTATCTGCTTCCAGAGCCCTCCCTCCTTACCTTGCCCCCCTTAAATAAACGTCAGTCAACCTCAAATCATACTGAGCTACAACCTGTTTGGCCCACATGGATTAAACCTCTATGGCTTACATTTCTTTTTGTCAAGAAAAGTAAAATTAGATCCTCTTGTATAGAAAAGGGATTTTACGTTTCATCAGTTTCAAAGGCAGAATGAAATGCCTTCTTTAACATCAGAACAAATAAGCGTAGGAATTTGAATCCTACAAGTACAAGCAGGTCACTGGGCACTTCCCCCAGGCCCCAGAGGAGGAGGATTCTCTGTGCTGGCAGATTCTGAAGGGCTGACTGATGCCTGGCCAGGAGCAGAGACCTCCGGAGGGCTCGGGGAGCCTGCCAGGGACGCCAGCCAGGCCAAGGCCACACTTGGCTTGAGCTAGGAAGCCACGGGCTGCTGCAGAGCTGTTCTGTTCAGTCTTCTTCCCGCCCTCCCTCCCCTCCCCAAACTCCTTCCTAGAGGTGGAGAATACCTTCAGCGAAGCCCTGGAACTTTCAGGCACCCCGTTTCCATATTTTCCTGAGATGATTCCACAGGCCAGTGGAGACCATGTCATTGCTCCAACTCCTACAGAAGACAAAAGTTAAAAAATCGCTTCTGCAAACTGAGATCAAAAGTGTGGGGGAGTTTAGACAGGATTTGGTTAGTTATGCAGAGAAGCTGGCCAGATATGTGAGTTAATAGCAGCAGACATCTTTCCATTAAAATTGAGGCATTTACAAATTGTGCTTCTTTTGGATAAACCAATCGAACGTACACTGTGGGTTATGGGGAATAGGCCACATAAACAAGCCTGAAAATGTGGCTTATCCATAATTCTCTGATGCCCAAAAGGTACGTTTCTTTTACACTCAGAGATGAACATTTCTGCTTGCTCAGATCCTCAGCGCTTCGTCTGTCCACTTGGCACTTGGTAGCGCCCAGTATGAAGCACGAGAACAATGCCCAAGGTAGACACAAAGCAATAGCAATGATGACCATCGTTGCTGACATTTTTTTAATCCTTTTTCCCCTTATCCAGCATTTTCCTACTCATGTGAACCTCCATTTCTTAGGAAGAAAGTTATCTCTGGAAACTGCTTTGATAAAGAAGCCTGAAAATGTGGCTTCTTTAAGTTTATGGGATGCCCCAAATTCTTCTATACGTGTTGTGTATATATTTTCCCCTCTCTTTGAAATCATCATGTCTGCTACACAAACATGTATACCTGGCTTATCAGCCACCTTTGAATTCCCCTGACTCAGTTCTAGGTACAGAGTAGGAGACAGAGATGTATAAACCCATAGTGTTTTGGAAAGACGGTCATAGTCCACTCAGAGATGCATTCCTGGCTAAAGCAAGCACCCTATGAAAAATGGGTTTATTTACTGCTTCTTCCCATCATTTCATATGCACTTTTTGAGCACCTACTGGGTACAGCTTGTGTACCAGTCATAGTTTACGGCTCCGCCTGGCTTGCACCCCCGACACTCTGTGGATGACATACAGGCACATTTAATCCTTCTACAGTCTCCGGAATGCACAGTGCTGGCACTTCTCATGTTAATTAGGAACATTTAGGAAAGCATTTCAGTGACACTTTTCGTTCAGGATCACTGGTCCTCCTGTTGTGAGAAATAGTCAGTAAATGTGATTGTGAAGAGTACCTATTTTATGGTAGAGCTCTGGTAGCTGAACCTCCACTTTCTCTCTCTGGAATAGGTGGTACTCAGCTTGTTCACAGACCGGGGGGATCATATTGAATTGTCTTGCTACAGAGTAGGCTTCCTAGGGAGAAATAAGATTGCACCTGAATTTACACTGATGAGAAATGAGGCTGTGTGCACGAAAAGTCTTCACTTTAGTGAAATCAATACAAACCGAGAAACATGTAGATTGCCAGATAATAAGCAAAATTGTGACCATCATTTTCACTCAGAGAACTACCAAAGGCAAGAAATCCTTATTATTCTTTGGGAAGGTTTGGATTGGGTAAAGACCAGGGCAAATTAGTCAAAGTATGAATTATGGAGTATTATAAAGAGAATATAGTTTGACTATTTCTAGTCAAGAAAGAAATAAAACTTAACTAATATATAATAGAAAATGACCTGTAATTAGCATGTTATAAACAGAATCATTATTGAATACATTAAACAAAACTAGAATATTGTGTTCATATGTCTCATTCGCTGGGAAATTCACTTTATTGTCTTACTACCAGAGAACACGCTAAACACGACTCCTGTTTGAGACCTGCACCCTCCCAGCTGTATTCTGAACTGATGAGATCCAACCCCATGGCCATCTCTACAATGGCTGAACTGATCATAGAATTCTAGTGCTATTGTGATAGTGAAGAAAATTTGCAAAAGGTCTTGCAATTTACACATGTTGTCTGAAAAACAATAATAGCTACTCAACGGCCATTTAGAGATAGAAATGAAATTACCATGATCTCCATAGCACTCCAGCGGGAGGTTCCCCAGTACATGGCCATTCCTTGGTTTATCACATGTGTCATGGCTCGAACAATTTCTATGGAAAATCAGACAGAGAGCATTACACATACTTTTCAAAGTTACATTGTCTTTTTTTTTTCTTTTCCTGTCTAAAGTTTAGAAGTCGAATGCAATTACCTGTTGGATTAATATAATTGATAACATAATAGTCTAACAGAAATTACTGATAGTTTGGAGGCCAACGGTACTTTTGGGTAAACTGACTTTCCATTTGCAGTTTGCAGCAACAAAACAAAATGATATTAAAAACAGAGTGACCACTTTAAGTTCTTCCTTCACATCTATCACTTTGTGGTTCCTGGCCTGATAAAAAAGCACATGAGTCAGAACCTGAGCTCCTTGCTCACTAGAGTGAGAAGTAAGAGAAAGCTTTTGTTTTGAGTTTGCAGAGTGGAAGGTCACTGGGGATAGAAGGCCTGCCTCTGTGTGTCGGATTTGCAGAGCTGGTCTCAGGCAGGGTGGCCGTGTAATAGGGATGACTCAACAACAATGTATTTAGCAGAAAGATAAACATATTTAATGCTGAACAAACAGCTGAAGCCACAGTGGCTCCCAGCCTGCACCGGCACACCCTGTCCTTGACCACTTTGAACCAAACTTCATTCTAAGACACCAGGTCATGCCTTTCACTGGGGCCTGCGCACGGCCCTGGCCAGTTTGCTCATCAGCCTTTTCAGCCTGACATGGCGTTTCCTACACAGGAAGACGAATGCCTTCCCAGGGGAGCGGAGCTGAGCTAATCCTGTTGGCACCAGCCATGTGATGAGAACCAGGGAGCACGGAGAGCCCAAGTTCAACTGAGTGAAAAGTCACAGACGCGGTCGGATTTCACCTACAAAGCAGGTCAGACAAATACCCGGGATGCCAGGTCCCTTGACGTTGTCAAGGGGTTGCAGGCTGCAGGCTCTCTTGCCCCACTAGTACCTGCTGGTGACATGTCCTTCAGAAGAATCAAATCCTTGTCTTAAACTCGTGTTGAGTCTACGTGTTCTTATTTTGTTTCTCACCAGCAAACACTGTCTGAATTGGTCGAGGACAGGATTTGGAACGAGACAGCAAGGGTTAGGGTCTTAGCTTCCTTGCTTGATTGGCTTACGTAAACCATTTCAAATAGTCCTTAGTCTCTTTGTTTGGAAGATGGCGATGTTTTTACCACTGGAGTCTACCCATCAGGGGGAGAATTGGGCTTATAAGGAAAATATTTTTCTTTCTTGGGAAAGACTCAGAAATATCAGCTTATTACTCAGCAACTAAATCTGTGTAGGTAATTGTCTCTTTATGAAGCAAATGAGATATGAAAACTTCTTGGAAACATTTCTTCTTCTTTTCTTATTACACAAATGGAAATGGATGTCTGTGCTAACATCTCTGAAAGTTCAGACACCATTATTTAAATCGCTGCCCCAAAGTAGTCTCTCTCTTTGGACATCCCCAGTGTTGCACCAGTGCCCCTGCCTTTCACATCCGGTTTCATTCAGATGTTCGTTCAATCAACAGGATTTAGGAAGTGCCTGCTGCACTGGGTGCTGGGGATATTGTGGGGAATCAAACATGTTCGTAAACAATGACGAGGTTACAGAAAATCAACTGAATCCAAGATGCTCCTGGTCTCTATTCGGTCATCAAGTAAGGTGAGCACAGAACACTGCGGTGGCTTGGCTGCGTGGAAGTCACTGAGGCCTTGCTAAGAGCAGTTAAGGTGGAGCGGAGGTTGAGTCTCCTCCCCTACCTTCATTCCCTTCTTTAACACACATGTATGAAGAGCCTAATATTTGCCAGGCCCGGGGTTCATCTGTGAGTAAAACTGATACAAAGCTCCTGGACTTGGAGAGCTTTGAGCTGAGTGGGGAAGATGGAAGAAACAGGTCTGTAATTACGAAATGTGATGTGCTCTGGAGAAAATAAGTAGGGTCTGGGATGGGGACTGAGAGGGAAGATCTATTTTGTTGGTCAAGGAAGGAGTCCCTGAGGAGCACTCTTTAGGCATAAAAAGTACAAAGGAGCCAGTCAGGTGAAGAACAGGGGGAGAGGATTCTAGGCAGCTGGAACAGAAAAGGCCCTGAAGCAGGACAGAACTTCGTCAGCTCCTGCAGTCAGAAGGAAGCCATTGTGGTGGGTGCCTAGTAAGGACAGAGGATGGGGCTGCAAGATGAAGTTGGCGGAGGGCAAACTGTGTTATTTATATGTTATTCAGAGTTTGATGAAAAGTCACTAACCTTTTTAGGTCAGATAATGACGACGCAGGTGACGTTTCAGAACACATTCTCTGACCGTATGGTGGAGAATCAAGAGTGAGGGGAGAGCTGGAGAAAGCAAGAAGGTCTTTAGGAGGGGACTGCAGTATTCCAGGCAGGAGATAAGGTGGCTTGGAATAGGGTGGTGGCAGTAGAGACAGAGAGACATGGATGGATCAAAATCTATTTTGGGGTAGATCCCATAAGATTTGCAGATGGACTGGATGTGGCAAGTGAGGAAAGAGAGGAATCAAAGGTGATCCCCCAGATTACAGGCTGTTCACAGAGATGAGGGAGACTGAGGGACGAATAGGTTTGGGAGGAAGAGCCAGGGTCTATGGATAAGCAAAAAGGGGAGATGTTTGTGAGATACTGAGGGGGCATGTCGAGCAGAGATAATTGGATAATGACACAGTGAGCAACGTGGGCTGGAGGCCATCTATTTTTTAATTATCCACCTATTAATTGTATCTGATAGGAATGGATGAGACTACATAAGGGAAGTCTGCCCAGAGAAAAGAGAAGCGATCCTAAGAGCCAGCACAGGGGCAGAGAGAGGACACTGCAGGGCTCTGGGTCATTGGCAGCCAGAGGGGCAGGAAAGAAGCCAGAGGGGGCACGTTTCAGTATCAAAAATGGAAGAGTGCTTGGAGAAGGTGCCGTGCCCAGAGACTGGAATGCCCTGAGCATTCGAGTCAGAAGGGCACAAGACAGTGTCCACTGGATTTGGCCACATGACAGGGAGGTGAAAAGAGCAGTGTCAGTGTCCGTGGTGTGATGGGACCATGGCCAGGCTGGAGCAGATGGAAGAATGGGTGTGGGGAAGGGAAGGCGGTAAAGACACCTGGGTGGACTCCAGCTGGGAAATGACTGAAGCAGAGAAAGAGGGAGACAGTTGAAGGGGTGTTTAGGGTCCAAGGAGAGTTTTATTTTAAAGCTGAGAAAGGTAAGAGGAAGCCTGTGTACCATTGGGGGTGATCTAGATCGGGGAGTTATTGAGGATGTGGGCTAGAGGGGTGGGGGAGAGACTTGACAGAGTGATGGAGCAGGACAGCGCTCCTGGGGGTGGGAAGGACACTTGCGGCAAGATGGTGGGACTGGGAGCATGGGAAGACAGGGGAGCTCCTGTTCGATGAATTCTTTTCTCAATAAACTATCAAGCGAAAAAGAGGTGGGAAGTGAGGAAAGGGTGAGAAGGAGCAGTTCTGAGCCTGGGAGAGCCTATGCAAGATGCCCCAATGCCCCAGGCACTTTAGTTGATGGTAATTTTTCGCTCCCTGATTTGCCTGGCCCCTGACTGCGCAGGGAAGGGCTGGTGGAATGAGAAAGGACTCCAGTTCTTATGGGGAGGAGGCTGCAGCACAGAAAGCAGGGAGGAACTGCAGAAGAGCGGAGAGGCTGCAGCTGGAGACGCATGTCACCACAAAATACAACTAATTAATGCACATTAAATTTGTTACATATTTTTTAAATATCAGAGAAAAATCCCCCAAGTTGTTTCGCTATCTAACAGGAAATCATTGTACTGATGGCTATGGTGGGTTTTAATATGATTCTACTATTCAGGGACACTAGAGGGCAGCATTGTTAAGAAAAATAATCAACTGAATCAAATGCTTGTATATCATGGAAATGCATTTTGAAAGCATCCTAGACAGGGCATCAGTTCTGAGTTGGGAAAAGAATTTTAGGAAGATCACTGAGTGCAGTGCATTCACCTGCTTCTGGGAAAGGACACGCAGACAAACTGATTAAATCTGGCAACTCAGGAGTAAAGCTGCTTTTCCTGGGAGCCTTAGCACTAGGGATTCTCAACACTGACTACACATTAAAACATCTGGGGAGCTTTGAAAATACATTATCCAGGCTCCATGGATGTTCTACTACATCAGAATCCCTGGGGGGTGAGGCCGGGCATCAGTACTTTAAAAACCCATCCCAGATGATTCCAGTGTGCAGCCATGCTTTAGACCACTGGCTTGTCTATGCCACTGGTCCCAAAGTGTGGCTCCTGGGGACCTGTCAGAAATGCAAATCCTAGGGCCTTTACCCCAGATCTAACGAGTTACAAATTCTGGGCATGGGTGGGCCCGGCAGTCTGTGTTTTAAGCAGCTCTTTGAGCAATTCTGGTGCAGACTACAATGTGAGAGCACTGCTTTCTGTCATCCCCAAGTAAGCCATTTCAGTGAGTATCCACTTCCTCCTAATCCGAGTGCTTCATGCTAAAATTAAACCTTTCATTACTTGCTTTGGTACATATGCAGATAGTCACCATGACATGCATGCATGCACCTGCACGTGCGCACATACACACTTAAGTATGAATCAGTCACCTGAAGGATCTGAAAAAAATGCAGAGGTCCAGATCCGAGCCTGCTTCAGTGAGCCTGGGCCTTTGTATTACCTTCATTAGCTCTCAGATCCCAGTGTTTGAGAAACACTGTCTAAACTATAGGAAGCCTTGGTGAAATCTTTCCTGTGCACTCCTTTCCAGGTTGAAAGCATCATTATTTAACCCACAGGTAGCTCTCTCTCTCATTCCCCTGACCCTTGGCACACAGCTGGTCTCTGTAAAAGCTGCAAGTCAGCTTTGCTGCTGAGTGTCCCAGCCCCCCGTCTGTAAAATGAGGATGACACGGAGCCTGTGGAATTCTTTCAAAGCTTGACATGAGATGATGTGTGTAGACCAATTTCTGGATCTAAAAGAGTAACACAAACCAAGGAACAAGTAAGCAGGATGTGGCCCTGTGTTTCTTCTCAAATAGGCTCAGATTCTAACAC